TGGTGCCACAATCAAAATTGCCGCGGCACCTGTGCAGTACCGCCAACGAACACGGGACCGCATGAGAAATCGATGCTCACACCTGCTGCCTGCGATCTTCGGGCTCAGGCGCTACTGCACTGCTTAAATTTATTATGGTGCATGGGAGAAAAAAGCATCCGTCGAATCTTGGCAGCGGCGCACGGCCTGTTTTGTGACAGCGAGCCCTGCATCAGCTAGCAGTGAGGATGGCGGAGTAACAATGAAGGAAGAGTGGGATATTCTGCTCAGCGTAAGATCTGTAAACTAGCCACAGATTGAGGTGAAGGGTCACTCACGGGTGCCTCAGCGACGGGTGCGGGCACTTGACGGCATCGCATCGCTTCGCATCGCCGAATTGCCAATGAACTCCGCGGGCTGCTGGAGCGTTGACGTCTGCGCGCGACTGTTATTCGGACCTCGCAGCTAGCCGGAGCGCTCTCATGCGGGTGCATCGTGGGCCAGCTTTTCCATCGCGACGGTTTCAAATTGGCAGCGCTACACCTCGATGAGCCACACCGTTGCAGTCATTCAACAACAACGTGTTGCGGGACACCATGCGGGCCTCCCTGGACCCGTGAGCAGTCCGGATGGAGAGCTCGAATCCTCTGGGGTCAAGGAACCATCAACATTGCACAGACCCAGAACAACGGATGTTGCGCTATGCGCGTAGCCGAAAAGGCGGTCGAAGCCTGCAGTCATGACTTATGCACCGGTCAAGACTCAGTTCGCGCGCGCCACCGGCTTGACCAGCTGCGTTCCGCCATGCTGCGAGGAGACGGATTGCAGCACAGAGCTGCGCGGTTGCACCACAACACATCTGGGCGAAGAAGTTCATCGTGATGCATACAGTCACAGTACACCTGGCTTCGCAGTCCAGTCTTCACGATTGAGCGGGCCAACATTCAGGAGTGCTGCTCCATGCGAAAGCACCTGCTCGCTCCCATTTTGGCGTGCTGACGCATCCAACAACGCAGCCGTGAGCACAGCGAGATAGGAGAGGAGGTGTCAGCAGCAAGTCAAGCTAGTATAATGACAGGCAATCGCAATCTACGTCAGACTCCTGCGATGAACCGTTGGTCTGCAGGGTTCGGCCCACGCACTGACTCACACTGTAGGGCACGTACTCGTGATCGACTGACCACAGTTCATCTCGATCGGCAGCGTGTTGCTGCCAAAATTCCTGCCCACGCTAACCAATGTGCCTGACGCAGAATGCAGGTGGGTGGGCGCACACGCAGCGGGCCTAATCCACCTCGAATGCCGCGGTCTTTTACAGGCAGGGTGCCCCGTCGATGTACCAACACACGACTTGGTCTACTGTCAAATCAATTGGTCACGAGTGCACGGGTCAGCTCTTGCTGACGATGGCGTGCTTCGGGACCGCTGATATGCCGCCCGTCAATCGTCCGTGTCAACATGCTCTAAGCATCGTTGTCCGGCAGTCCAAGGCCGAGGCGGACGCTGCTAGGTGTCGAACAAATGATTGGCTCGAGACTGACGACTGACAATAATGTGCTCAATCTCACAAATCTCTACGTTCGCCTTCGGATCTCGGCTTGCAAGGGGCCGAGTAGCTTCGCCTGGTGGCGCTGCGAAAGTCAAGTCGAGAATGCATCTCCCGATCATGGACAACGCAACGCTATCTTCTCTGCTGCTGACTGCCTCGTCAGATGTTGAGATCAATACACGATTCACGTTGGCTTAGAATTGCATTTTGACATGACGACGAAGCTGAGCTCGAGCCGCTGTTTCCGACTCTCGTACGAGTACGGATGGCCCGCATTAACTGGGACGGCAGTGGAAGCATCTTTTGCCGAGGTGCATTCTCTGCCGCACGGAGAGAGAGAGAGCATCGCTGTCGATCTTGATAAGTTGTGCCTTCCGCATTGAGGCAGTCCATCTGAAAGGTGAAGCCGGCTTGCGCGAGAACTTGTGGGGCAAATTGCCTCTGGGCCGCACTCCCAGCTCATCGCTGCTGAGCTAGCGGATGACATGCTTGCTATGAAACTTCGACTGCAAGCTTGCAGTGCGCTGGTCCGGTGAAGGGTGTATCATCATCACGAATTGAAATCGAAAATGAATCGTCCGAGCGTCGGGGGAA